TAATTAGCACTTGCACTTAATTTGTGCTGTAAATAGTTACTCATCATTATTTCATACTTAATTACTCATGATCTAACCATTTGAGCATTTATTAATCATTAATAAACTATGAGAGAATGATTTACTAATAACACAATGATCATTCAGGCAGCTGTTCTGTTAGTTAAGTCTTTTTGAGAGCTTTTCTAAAGTGAAGATGAATTATATTTATTAAACATTTACTAAGTGTGAATCATTATTAATTAAGTCCTTGTTTATTATTAATTAAGTCTTTATTCATGCTTAAGTTAAAAAAGGTGTTGTTATTATAAAGTGTTACCAACTTTTTAAATAGAAAAGAAAAACTGGACGACACGAGAGAATCAGAATAAGTGTAGAACCACAGTCAGAAAATGAACAAACATGAAATATACTGTATGTAAAATCATAACTATGTAGAAACATGTACTGTATATATATGTAAGTATATATATATATATATATATATATATATATATGTATGTATATATATATGTATGTATGTATGTATGTATGTGTTTAAACATAGAGACGGTGGAGGCTCCAACAACAGAACAAACTCCAAATATATTTATAGATTTATATTCACATGGACACAGCTGTAACACACATATAAGTACAATGTATGTACAACCCCCCTACACACACACACACACACACACACACACACACACACACACACTACACACACACACACACACACACACACACACACACACACACACACACACACACACACACACACATACACACACACACACAAACTATACACACACACACACACACTATACACACACACACACACACACACACACACACCACACTATACACACACACACACACACACACACACACTATACACACACTATACACACACTATACACACACACACACACACACACACTATACACACACACACACACACTATACACACACTATACACACACACACACCACACACTATACACACACACACACACACACACACTATACACACACACACACACACGCACTATACACACACCCTGACAATCCCCCCCACCACCTATATCTGTCTCACTGCTCAGATCAAACCCCCCCCATCACACACACACACACATACATATATATCTGGGTTTAGGTCGGTCTGGTCTCTGGTCTCTGGTCTGGTCTCTGGTCTCTGGTCTGGTCTGGTCTGGTCTGGTCTCTGGTCTGGTCTCTGGTCTCTGGTCTGGTCTCTGGTCTCTGGTCTCTCTGGTCTGGTCTGGTCTCTGGTCTCTCTGGTCTCTGGTCTGGTCTTGGTCTTGGTCTGGTCTTTGCTGGTCTGGTCTGGTCTGGTCTCTGGTCTCTGGTCTCTGGTCTCTGGTCTGGTCTCTGGTCTGGTCTCTGGTCTGGTCTCTGGTCTCTGGTCTGGTCTCTGGTCTCTGGTCTCTGGTCTGGTCTCTGGTCTCTGGTCTCTGGTCTCTGGTCTGGTCTGGTCTCTGGTCTCTCTGGTCTTTGGTCTTTGGTCTTTGGTCTGGTCTGGTCTCTGGTCTGGTCTGGTCTCTGGTCTGGTCTCTGGTCTGGTCTCTGGTCTCTGGTCTCTGGTCTCTGGTCTTTGGTCTTTGGTCTGGTCTTTGGTCTGGTCTCTGGTCTGGTCTCTGGTCTGGTCTCTGGTCTGGTCTCTGGTCTGGTCTCTGGTCTCTGGTCTGGTCTTGGTCTTTGGTCTTTGGTCTTTGGTCTGGTGCAGTTTTAGTTTCATGAGTTTTTCTCACAAAGTGTCTGGGGGCGGAGCTTCTGTAACGACCACGAGGAAAACAACAGAAAACAACAAACGAAGGAAGAAAGAAAAAGAGAGAAAGAGAGAGAGAGAAGACTTCAGGTCAGGGTCAGAGGTGGAGGTCAGAGGTGGAGGAGGTCAGAGGTGGAGGAGGTCAGAGGTGGAGGAGGTCAGAGGTGGAGAGGTCAGAGGTGGAGGAGGTCAGAGTGGGGAGGTCAGAGGTGGAGGAGGGTCAGAGGTGGAGAGGTCAGAGGTGGAGAGGTCAGGGTGGAGGAGGTCAGAGGTGGTGGAGGTCAGAGGTTGGAGGTCAGAGTGGTGGAGGTCAGAGGTGGAGGTCAGAGGTGGAGGAGGTCAGAGGTGGAGGTCAGAGGTGTCAGAGGTGGAGGTCAGAGGTGGCAGAGGTGGAGGAGGTCAGAGGTGGCGGAGGTCAGAGGTGGAGGAGGTCAGAGGTGGTGGAGGTCAGAGGTGGAGGAGGTCAGAGGTGGAGGGGGTGAGAGGCGGAGGTCAGAGGAGGTGGAGGTGGAGGTCAGAGGTGGTGGAGGTCAGAGGTGGAGGTCAGAGGTGGTGGAGGTCAGAGGTGGAGGGTCAGAGGTGGAGGGTCAGAGGTGGGGAGGTCAGGGTCAGAGGTGGAGGAGGTCAGAGGTGGAGGTCAGAGGTGGAGGTGAGGTGGTGGAGGTCAGAGGTGGTGGAGGTCAGAGGTCAGAGGTGGAGGTCAGAGGTGGAGGAGGTCAGAGGTGGAGGTCAGAGGTGGTGGAGGTCAGAGGTGGTGGAGGTCAGAGGTGGTGGAGGTCAGAGGTGGTGGAGGTCAGAGGTGGTGGAGGTCAGAGGTGGAGGAGGTCAGAGGTGGAGGAGGTCAGAGGTGATGGAGGTCAGAGGTGGAGGAGGTCAGAGGTGGAGGTCAGGTGGAGGTCAGGGTGGAGGTCAGAGGTGGAGGTCAGAGGTGGAGGTCAGAGGTGGAGGAGGTCAGAGGTGGTGGAGGTCAGAGGTGGAGAGGTCAGAGGTGGAGGTCAGAGGTGGTGAGAGGTCAGAGTGTGGAGGTCAGAGGTGGCAGAGGTGGAGGTCAGAGGTGGTGAGAGGTCAGAGGTGGAGGTCAGAGGTGGAGGTCAAGAGGTGGAGTCAGAGGTGGAGGTCAGGGTCAGAGGTGGAGGGTCAGAGGTGGAGGAGGTCAGAGTGGAGGAGGTCAGAGGTGGTGGAGGGTGAGAGGTCAGAGGTCAGAGGTGGAGGTCAGAGGTGGTGGAGGTCAGAGGTGGAGGTCAGAGGTCAGAGGTGGAGGGGGTCAGAGGTCAGAGGTGGAGGTCAGAGGTGGAGGGTCAGAGGTGGAGGAGGTCAGAGGTGGTGGAGGTCAGAGGTGGAGGAGGTCAGAGGTGGAGGTCAGAGGTGGAGGTCAGAGGTGGAGGAGGTCAGAGGTGGAGGAGGTCAGAGGTCAGAGGTCAGAGGTGGAGGTCAGAGGTGGAGGGGGTCAGAGGTGGAGGTCAGAGGTGGAGGAGGGTCAGAGGTGGTGGAGGTCAGAGGTGGAGGAGGGTCAGAGGTGGAGGGTCAGAGGTGGAGGAGTGGAGTCAGAGGCGGAGGTCAGAGGTGGAGGAGGTCAGAGGTGGTGGAGGTCAGAGGTGGAGGAGGTCAGAGGTGGAGGTCAGAGGTGGAGGTCAGAGGTGAGAGGTCAGAGGTGGAGAGGTGGAGGTCAGAGGTGGAGGTCAGAGGTGGAGGTCAGAGGTGGAGGTCAGAGGTGGAGGTCAGAGTCAGAGGTGGAGGAGAGGTCAGAGGTGGAGGAGGTCAGAGGTGGAGGTCAGAGGTGGATCAGAGGTCAGAGGTGGAGGAGGTCAGAGGGGAGGTCAGTGGAGGTCAGGTCAGAGGTGGAGGGTCAGAGAGGAGGAGGTCAGAGGTGGAGGAGGTCAGAGGTGGAGGTCAGAGGTGGGGTCAGAGGTGGAGGAGTCAGAGTGGAGGAGGTCAGAGGTGGTGGAGTGGAGGTCAGGAGGTCAGAGGTGGTGGAGGTCAGAGGTGGAGGAGGTCAGAGGTGGAGGAGGTCAGAGTGGAGGGGGTCAGAGGTGACAGAGGTGGAGGTCAGAGGTGGAGGTCAGAGGTGGAGGTCAGAGGTGGAGGTCACAGGTGGAGGGTTCTGGTCTTGAGGAACCGTGTAGATGTAGAACATCCTGGAAATCCTGATCCTGGACCAGCACCAGAGTTTATGGACCAATAATGATCCCCACAAGGTTGTGTCCACATGGTTCTCACACGGCTGTGTCCACATGGTTCTCGTACCACATGTTTTCAGTGACATACGTGGTGTTTTCGGTAACATACGTCATGTTTTTCAGGTCCCCACGTCGTCCACAGAGCTCAGCACGATGCTGCTGCCTCGGCCCTCGTCCAATCACAGCTCAGAGAGACGGGGGCGGACCCTGAGCGCGGCCAGCTGTCTGACGGACGCCATGGAGGGTACGAACAGCCAATCAGAGCGCAGGGAGGAGTTATACGGCCAATCAGAGAGCAGGGAGGAGTTATACAGCCAATCAGGGTGCAGGGAGGGGTTATACAGCCAATCAGAGCGCAGGGAGGAGTTATAAGGCCAATCAGAGGGCAGGGAGGAGTTATATGGCCAATCAGAGCGCAGGGAGGAGGTATATGGCCAATCAGGGCAGGGGGAGCAGGGCAGGGAGGAGTTATACAGCCAATCAGAGCGCAGGGAGGAGTTATACAATCAGAGGCAGGGAGGAGTTATACAGCCAATCAGAGCGCAGGGAGCCAAGGGGGAGGAGTTATACAAATCAGAGCGCAGGGAGGAGTTATACGGCCAATCAGAGGCAGGAGGAGTCAGGGAGCAGGGAGGAGTTATACGGCCAATCAGAGGGGAGAGTTAAACGCCAATCAGAGGCAGGGAGGAGTATACGGCCAATCAGAGCGCAGGGAGGAGTTATACGGCCAATCAGAGCGCAGGGAGGAGTTATACGGCCAATCAGAGGGCAGGGAGGGGCTATACGGCCAATCAGAGCGCAGGGAGGAGTTATACGGCCAATCAGAGCGCAGGGAGGAGTTATACGGCCAATCAGAGGGCAGGGAGGAGTTATACGGCCAATCAGAGCGCAGGGAGGAGTTATACGGCCAATCAGAGAGCAGGGAGGAGTTATACAGCCAATCAGAGGGCAGGGAGGAGTTATAAGGCCAATCAGAGCGCAGGGAGGAGTTATACGGCCAATCAGAGGGCAGGGAGGGGCTATACGGCCAATCAGAGGGCAGGGAGGAGTTATATGGCCAATCAGAGGGCAGGGAGGAGTTATACGGCCAATCGGAGCGCAGGGAGGGGTTATACGGCCAAGGTTGGAGTAAATCTGACGGAACGGTTCTAAACTCATTCTCCTGTTCTCCTGTTCTTGTTCTGTTCTTCGTTTGCTCAGAGCTGGAGGAGACCCACGGCCGCCGCTGCCCCCCCTGCTGGTACGTGCTGGCGCAGCGGTTCCTGGTGTGGGAGTGCTCCCCCTCCTGGCTGCGGCTCAAGGCGGCGGTGAAGGTCATGGTGATGGACCCGTTTCTGGACCTCGCCATCACCGTCTGCATCGTCCTCAACACGCTCTTCATGGCCATGGAGCACTACCCCATGACCGACGACTTCAACAACATGCTCACGGACCTGGAACAGAACTGAACCAGGACTGAACAGGACTGAACCAGGACTAAACCAGGACTGAACCAGGACTGAAGGACTGAACCAGGACTGAACCAGGACTGAACCAGGACTGAACCAGGACTGACCAGGACTGACCAGGACTGAACCAGGACTGAACCAGGACTGAACCAGGACTGAACCAGGACTGAACCAGGACTGAACCAGGACTGACCAGGACTACACCAGGACTGAACTGGACTGAACCAGGACTGAACCAGGACTGAACCAGGACTGAAACTGGACAGGACTGAACTGAACCAGGACTGAACCAGGACTGAAACCAGGACTGAACTGAACCAGGACTGAACCAGGACTGGACCAGGACTACACCAGGACTGAACCAGGACTGAACCAGGACTGAACCAGGACTGAACCAGGACTGAACCAGGACTGAACCAGGACTGAACCAGGACTGAACTGAACCAGGACTGACTGAACCAGGACTGAACCAGGACTGAACCTGGACTGAACCAGGACTGAACCTGGACTGAACCAGGACTGAACCAGGACTGAACCAGGACTACACCAGGACTGAACCAGGACTAAACCAGGACTGAACCAGGACTAAACCAGGACTGAACCAGGACTGAACCTGGACTGAACCAGGACTGAACCAGGACTGAACCAGGACTACACCAGGACTGAACCAGGACTAAACCAGGACCGACGACTTCAACAACATGCTCACCATCGGGAACCTGGTGAGAACTGAACCAGGACTGAACCAGGACTGAACCAGGACTGAACCAGGACTAAACCAAGGACTAAACCAGGACCAAAACCAGGACCAAACCAGGACCAAACCAGATCCAAACCAGGACTCAACCAGGACTAAACCAGGACTGAACCAGGACCAAACCAGGACCGAACCAGGACTGAATCAGGACTAAACCAGGACTGAACCAGGACTACACTGGGACTTAAACAGGACTTAATCAGGACTCAGCAAGGACTTAAATAGGACTAAACCCGGTCTAACCTAGGAATATAAAAGGACTAAACCAGGACTCTATCAGAACTCAACCAGGACTAGACCAGGTCTGTCTCAGGTCTTTCTCTTTCTCTGTTGTTATTTGTTTTGTGTCTGGGGGCGGGGCATTATTCACGCCGTTTCCTTTTTTGGACTTCCTGGAGGCAACTCTCGAAGCCGATTGGCCGATCTATGCTAATGCACACGCTAATGGCTAACGGCTAAAGGCTAACACCTCACCTGGAGACGACAGGTGTCACGACAGGTGTCACCCTGCATCAGGAGAGAGGGAAGAGAGAGAGAGAGAGGGGGGGGGAAGAAGGGATTGATGGAGAGTGAATTAAAGAGAGAAGTGAAGAAAAGAGGGAGAGAGAGAAAAGAAAAGAGAGATAGAAGAGAAGGAGGAATGAAGAAGAGAGAAAGACTGAGGTGGAGGTGAGAGTGAAAAAGAAGAGAGAGAGAGAAAGAGGAATTAATATGGTCCAGTCCTGGTTTAGTCCTGGTCCAGTCCTGGTTTAGTCCTGGTCTAGTCCTGGTTTAGTCCTGATCCAGTTCTTTGCAGAGATGCACTGGTTTGATCCTGGTATCGGATCTCGGCTCTGATACTGAAAGATTTGCTGAATTGTAAATGATTTTTCTAAATATCGGTTCAGTCGATCTCCGGGTTTGACACAAACACGATGGAATAAAACAGAACGAGTCTGAACGTTTAATTTAATATTTGAACTTTAATTCACACAAATCTGACACCGAGACTCTCCACGACTCTGTCACGTCCGGATCGGTCCGGATCGGTCCGGATCGGTCCAGTTTGATTTTATTTTAGTTTAAACAAAGTGAACTCAGTTTTGAGTCGCTGGTATCGGCCGATATCAAGATCGACAGAAACTGAAGGCTGTAGTATCGAAAAGTGTATCGGAACTGAAAACTGGATCGGTGCAACACTCATTACAGTCCTCCATAGTCCTGGTTTAGTCCTGGTCCAGTCCTGGTCCAGTCCTGGTTTAGTCCTGGGTTAGTCCTGGTTTAGTCCTGGTCTAGTCCTGGTTTAGTCCTGGTTTAGTCCTGGTTTAGTCCTGGTTTAGTCCTGGTTTAGTCCTGGTTTAGTCCTGGTCTAGTCCTGGTTTAGTCCTGGTCTAGTCCTGGTTTAGTCCTGGTCCTGGTTTAGTCCTGGTTTAGTCCTGGTTTAGTCCTGGTCTAGTCCTGGTTAGTCCTGGTCTAGTCCTGGTTTAGTCCTGGTCTAGTCCTGGTTTAGTCCTGGTCTAGTCCTGGTTTAGTCCTGGTTTAGTCCTGGTTTAGTCCTGGTCTAGTCCTGGTTTAGTCCTGGTTTAGTCCTGGTCTAGTCCTGGTTTAGTCCTGGTTTAGTCCTGGTCTAGTCCCTGCAGCAGTGAGTCTTTGTTCTGATCTTTATTTTCTTGAAGCGTCTTTGAGTCGACGCTGCGTCCTCCAGATAAACTCCCACAGTGCACTGCTCCCTCTGACCTTGCTGAAGGGCACGTGGGCACTGGACTCAAACCCACGACTGACCCCACGTGACCCTGAAACTCTGACGGAGTCCAGAAGAACACCACAGACACACACGGAAACAAGGAAACAAATGACACTACGGAGAGAATCTAGAGTCCAGTTTAGTCCTGCTTTAGTCCTGGTTTAGTCCTAGTTTAGTCCTGCTTTAGTCCTGCTTTAGTCCTGGTTTAGTGCTAGTTTAGTCCTGCTTTAGTCCTGGTTTAGTCAGTGCTTAGTCCTGCTTTAGTTTTAGTCCTTTTAGTCCTGGTTTAGTCCTAGTTTAGTCCTGCTTTAGTCCTGCTTTAGTCCTGGTTTAGTCCTGGTTTAGTTCTGGATGTAATAACTGTTGTTGCTGAGGAGTTTTGTTGTTGCTGACTCAGGGGCACGAGCAGCTGTTCCCTAAAACACACAGTCACACACACACACTGTACACACACACACCCCGACACACACACTGTACACACACACACACACACACACCCCGACACACACACTGTACACACACACCCCCCGACACACACACTGTACACACACACTGTACACACACCCCCGACACACACACTGTACACACACACTGTACACACACACACACTGTACACACACACACAGAAACAAACCTGACTCTGTGAGCTGTAAATGGAAGATCATTTGTTCCTCTGAATTTTTTAACTCTGAAAAAACATGTTTGAATTATTTTTATTCTTAATTTTATCTGCTGAAATTTTAAGTGACTTTTTCAATAGGTTTAAAATTTTTAATTAAAAAAAAAATCACCTTTAAAATATTCAACACAAATATTTTCAAGCCTCAAATTCAGAGAGTAAAATTCTCAGCAAAGATCTGAGAATCATCGACTGGCGGAGGCTGTTTCCTAATGGTTCTCATCTGTGGGCGGGGCTTGAGGTTTTGATGAGGCAAATTCTGACCAATCACATCACTGCACTGCACCATTTCCTGTTTGTTACTACGTTAGATCAGATCAACTCTGGATCGATGCTTCTGCCTCGGCGTCTTGGATCTTTGATGAGAATTTTACTCTCTGAGTTTGACTCTCTGAAGTTTGACTCTCTGAGTTTGACTCTCTGAGTTTGACTCTCTGACCCTGAGCCCAGACGAGCTCGTGTCCTGTGGGTGTAACTGTGTCCTGTGTGATGTTCCCTCAGGTTTTCTCGGGGATCTTCACGGCGGAGATGGTTCTGAAGATCATCGCGTTGGATCCGTACTTTTATTTCCAGACGGGCTGGAACATCTTCGACAGCATCATCGTCTGCCTCAGCCTCATGGAGCTCGGACTCTCCGACGTCGAGGGACTCAGTGTGCTGCGCTCCTTCAGACTGGTGAGTCCAAGACCGAGACCGAGACCGGACCGGACCGGACCGGACGGTCTCCTGAGCTCAGCAGGTTCCTCTGCACGAGGCTCAGAGACACTGAGGCCGAGACGCACGACAGACGTTTCTGAAGTGAGGCTGAGACTCTGTCTGTCTGACCAGTCACTGACCCTGAGTGAACTCAGTCCTACAGACCCCGGCCACTGGGTCAGGACTGGGTCAGGTCTGGGTCAGGTCTGGGTCAGGTCTGGGTCAGGTCTGGGTCAGGACTGGGTCAGGTCTGGGTCAGGTCTAGGTCAGGTGGGTCAGGTCTGGGTCAGGACTGGGTCAGGTCTGGGTCAGGACTGGGTCAGGTCTGGGTCAGGTCTGGGTCAGGTCTGGGTCAGGTCTGGGTCAGGTGGGTCAGGACTGGGTCAGGTCTGGGTCAGGTCTGGGTCAGGAGGTCAGGTCTGGGTCAGGACTGGGTCAGGTCTGGGTCAGGTCTGGGTCAGGTCTAGGTCAGGTCTGGGTCAGGTCTGGGTCAGGACTGGGTCAGGACTGGGTCAGGACTGGGTCAGGACTGGGTCAGGTGGAACTTGGAGACCGGGGGTGTTGGTCTCTACTCGTGAGTCTGAGCTTCTCCTCCCATGATGCATCTGGAACAGCTGGTGTGGACCTGCAGTCTCTGTTTGGACCTGAGTTTGGTGTTTGGTGCAAAGTCAAACAACTGAGACCAACTCTTTTTTGAGTCTCAGTCTGTTTGATTTAGTGCAGATCCAAGTGAGACTGAAGATTTTACACCAACTAAAACTAAAACCAACCAAACCCAACACAACTAAGAGCTTCTGGATCCAGTGGAACATTTGGTGCAACATCTGCTGTCGCTATGAAAGAACCTCAGACTGGTGAGTCCAAGACCAGAACCAGACCCGGACCAGAGCTTTAGGATTCTTCCACAGCAACAGCAGATGGTCCTGACCTGGAGCGCTGGACGTCCTCCACTCAGCAGGACAGGGACTGGGCGGCGCCGACGCTTGACTCGAGACGTCTGTCGTGTCTCTGAGCCTCGTCCAGAGGTTCTGAGCTCAGGAGACTTGGACAAACGTCAGTGGGACCAGGTTTGGTTTGAAAAGAACAAACTGGAGTCTGTGACACAAGAACTGTTTTACTGCCTGAAGACGAACTAAGAATCAAACTAGAGAAACACCTGAGACTAAACCAGGACTAGACCAGGACCAGACCAGGACCAGACCAGACCAGACCAGACCAGACCAGGACCAGACCAGACCAGGACCAGACCAGGACCAGACCAGACCAGACCAGACCAGACAGACAGACCAGGACCAGACCAGACCAGGACCAGACCAGTACCAGGACCAGGACCAGGACCAGACCAGGACAGACCAGACCAGACCAGGACCAGGACCAGACCAGACCAGACCAGGACCAGACAGCAGGACCAGGACCAGGACCAGACCAGGACAGACCAGACCAGGACCAGACCAGGACCAGGACCAGACCAGACCAGGACCAGGACCAGACCAGACCAGACCAGACCAGACCAGGACAGACAGGACCAGACCAGACCAGACCAGGACCAGACCAGGACCAGACCAGACCAGACCAGGACCAGACCAGGACCAGACCAGACCAGGACCAGACCAGGACCAGACCAGACCAGGACCAGACCAGGACCAGACCAGGACCAGACCAGGACCCAGGACCAGGACCAGACCAGACCAGACCAGACCAGGACCAGACCAGACCAGGACCAGACCAGGACAGGACCAGACCAGACCAGACCAGGACCAGACCAGACCAGGACTGACCAGGACCAGGACCAGACCAGGACCAGGACCAGGACCAGGACCAGGACAGACCAGGACCAGACCAGGACCAGACCAGGACCAGACCAGGACCAGACCAGTTGAGTGGAGAGTTGGTCCTGGTGAGTTTTATCTCTGCTGTGTGACATGTAAACAAACAGCTCTGTGTGACGATGGTTTGGTGCTCGGTTCAGTTCTGCAGGTGTGAGTGAGGAACACAGAACCCACAGAAATCGTCCCGGTTCTAAAGTCCGAGTGTGAATGGTCCTGAGTGTGAGTGGTCCTGAGTGTGAGTGGTCCTGAGTGTGAGTGGTCCCCAGTGTGAATGGTCCTGAGTGTGAATGGTCCTGAGTGTGAGTGGTCCTGAGTGTGAGTGGTCCTGAGTGTGAGTGGTCCCCAGTGTGAATGGTCCTGAGTGTGAGTGGTCCTGAGTGTGAGTGGTCCTGAGTGTGAGTGGTCCCAGTGTGAGTGGTCCCCAGTGTGAATGGTCCTGAGTGTGAATGGTCCTGAGTGTGAATGGTCCCGAGTGTGAGTGGTCCCGAGTGTGAGTGGTCCCCAGTGTGAATGGTCCTGAGTGTGAATGGTCCTGAGTGTGAGTGGTCCCGAGTGTGAGTGAGTGTGAGTGGTCCCGAGTGTGAATGGTCCCGAGTGTGAGTGGTCCTGAGTGTGAGTGGTCCCGAGTGTGATGGTCCCGAGTGTGAGTGGTCCTGAGTGTGAGTGGTCCCGAGTGTGAGTGGTCCCGAGTGTGAGTGGTCCCGAGTGTGAGTGGTCCTGAGTGTGTGCCTGGTCCCCGTGTGTGAATTAGTTGTGTGTCGTGTGTTTCAGCTGCGTGTGTTCAAGCTCGCTCGCTCGTGGCCGACGCTCAACACCCTGATCAAGATCATCGGGAACTCGATGGGCGCGTTGGGGAACCTCACCCTCGTCCTCGCCATCATCGTCTTCATCTTCGCCGTGGTCGGGATGCAGCTGTTCGGCAAAAACTACCAGGTACGTGTGAACGGACCCCACTGTGACCCGCCCCCGCCTGACCCGCCCTGACCCTGACCCCGCCCCGCCCTGACCCTGCCCTGACCCCCCTGCCCTGACCCGCCCCTGTGACCCCGCCCTGACCCTGCCCTGACCCTGACTGTGACCCGCCCCTGCCCTGACCCCGCGACTGTGTGTGTATGACCCTGTGTGTGTACCCCCTGCAGGACTGTGTGTGTAAGATCTCGAGGACTGTGTGTGTGTATGACCTGTGTGTGTATGACCCTGTGTGTGTATGCCTGCAGGACTGTGTGTGTAAGATCTCGAGGGACTGTGTGTGTATGACCCTGTGTGTGTATGGCCCCGCACTGTGTGTAGACTCGTGTGTGTGTGACTGTGTGTATGGTCCCTGTGTGTGTATGACCTGTGTGTGTATGGCCCCTGCAGGACTGTGTGTGTAAGATCTCGAGGGACTGTGTGTGTATGACCCTGTGTGTGTATGGTCCCTGCAGGACTGTGTGTGTAAGATCTCGAGGGACTGTGTGTGTATGACCCTGTGTGTGTATGGTCCCCAGGACTGTGTGTGTAAGATCTCGAGGGACTGTGTGTGTGTTGGCCCGCAGGACTGTGTGTGTAAGATCTCGAGGGACTGTGTGTGTATGACCCTGTACCTGTGTGGTATGGTCCCCGCACTGTGTGTGTAGATCTCGAGGGACTGTGTGTGTATGACCCTGTGTGTGTATGGTCCCCGCAGGACTGTGTGTGTAAGATCTCGAGGGACTGTGTGTGTATGACCCTGTGTGTGTATGGTCCCCGCAGGACTGTGTGTGTAAGATCTCGAGGGACTGTGTGTGTATGACCCTGTGTGTGTATGGTCCCCGCAGGACTGTGTGTGTAAGATCTCGAGGGACTGTGTGTGTATGAGTCTCTGTGTGTGTATGGTCCCTGCAGGACTGTGTGTGTAAGATCTCGAGGGACTGTGTGTGTATGACCCTGTGTGTATGGTCCTGCAGGACGTGTGTGTAAGATCTCGAGGGACTGTGTGTATGACTCTGTGTGTGTATGACCCTGTGTGTGTATGGTCCCCGCAGGACTGTGTGTGTATGACTCGGGGACTGTGTGTGTATGACTCTGTGTGTGTATGACCCTGTGTGTGTATGGTCCCTGCAGGACTGTGTGTGTAAGATCTCGAGGGACTGTGTGTGTATGACCCTGTGTGTGTATGGTCCCCTGTGTGTAAGATCTCGAGGGACTCCCCTACCCCGCAGGACTGTGTGTGTAAGATCTCGAGGGACTGTGTGTGTATGACCCTGTGTGTGTATGGTCCCCGCAGGACTGTGTGTGTAAGATCTCGAGGGACTGTGTGTGTATGACCCTGTGTGTGTATGGTCCCCGCAGGACTGTGTGTGTAAGATCTCGAGGGACTGTGTGTGTATAACTCTGTGTGTGTATGACCCTGTGTGTGTATGGTCCCGCAGGACTGTGTGTGTAAGATCTCGAGGGACTGTGTGTATGTGTGTGTATGACCCCTGTGTGTTATGACCCTTGTCCTGCAGGACTGTGTGTGTAAGATCTCGAGGACTGTGTGTGTATGACCCTCTGTGTGTGTATGGTCCCCGCAGGACTGTGTGTGTAAGATCTCGAGGGACTGTGTGTGTATGACCCTGTGTGTGTCTGTGTGTGTATGGTCCCCGCAGGACTGTGTGTGTAAGATCTCGAGGGACTGTGTGTGTATAACTCTGTGTGTGTATGACCCTGTGTGTGTATGGTCCCCGCAGGACTGTGTGTGTAAGATCTCGAGGGACTGTGTGTGTATGACCTGTGTGTGTATGACCCTGTGTGTGTATGGTCCCCGCAGGACTGTGTGTGTATGACTCTGTGTGTGTATGACCCTGTGTGTGTATGGTCCCCGCAGGACTGTGTGTGTAAGATCTCGAGGGACTGTGTGTGTATGTGTGTGTATGACCCTGGTGTGTATGGCCCCTGCAGGACTGTGTGTGTAAGATCTCGAGGGACTGTGTGTGTATAACTCTGTGTGTGTATACCCTGTGGACCTGTCCCCGTGTGTACATGGTCCCCAGAGGACTGTGTGTGTAAGATCTCGTGTGTGTGTATAACTCTGTGTGTGTATGACCCTGTGTGTGTATGGTCCCCGCAGGACTGTGTGTGTAAGATCTCGAGGGACTGTGTGTATGACTCTGTGTGTGTATGACCCTGTGTGTGTATGGTCCCCGCAGGACTGTGTGTGTAAGATCTCGAGGGACTGTGTGTGTATAACTCTGTGTGTGTGTATGGTCCCCGCAGGACTGTGTGTGTAAGATCTCGAGGGACTGCTCTCTCCCTCGTTGGCACATGAAGGACTTCTTCCACTCGTTCCTCATCGTGTTCCGGGTTCTCTGCGGCGAGTGGATCGAGACCATGTGGGACTGTATGGAGGTCGCCGGGCAACCGCTCTGCATCCTCGTCTTCATGCTCGTCATGGTCATCGGGAACCTCGTGGTGAGTCCTGCTCCGGGTCCGGTCCAGGTCTGAGATAGGCCTGGTCTAGACCTGGTTTAGTCCTGGTTCAGTCCTGGTTTAGTCCTGGTTCAGTCCTGGTTTAGTCCTGGTTTAGTCCTGGTTTAGTCCTGGTTCAGTCCTGGTTTAGTCCTGGTTCTGGTTAGTCCTGGTTTAGTCCTGGTTCAGTCCTGGTTTAGTCCTGGTTTAGTCCTGGTTCAGTCCTGGTTTAGTCCTGGTTTAGTCCTGGTTCAGTCTGGTCTCCTGCTGGTCTCGGGTCTTTTCAGAGTTTAGTTCTTTATTCTTCTCCACCCACAGGTCTCCTCCTCCTCTTTCTCTCTTTCTTCATGGCTGGTTTAGTCTCTCTCCTCTTCCTCTTCCTCCTCTTCTCTCCTCTCCTCTTCCTCCTCCTCTTCCTCCTCCCTCTTCCTCCTCCTCTTCCTCCTCCTCCTCTTCCTCCTCTTCTTCCTCCTCCTTCTTCCTCTCCTCCTCTTCCTCCTCCTCTCTCTTCCTCCT